GTCCTATCTCCCAACCCCCTTTCCAGTTTTCTCCCCACCAATCCCCTCTAACCTTCTCCACACACCACACTGCCTACATTTCAAGTCACCATACCATCCCCAAACACAGGCTGTGAATCTGGTGAATGGCAAACCTCACTTTCTTTCTTTCTTTCTTTTTTTTTTGAGACAGAGTTTCACTATGTTGCCCTTAGTAGAGTGCTGTGGCATCATTGCTCATAGCAACCTCAAACTCTTGGGCTTAAGTGATCGTCTTGCCTCAGCCTTCCTGGTAGCTGGGACTACATGTGCTGGTCACAATGCCCTCTGTCTTCTTTCTTGAGCTGATCCATCTTTGGGGCAGAGAGCCAGCTGCTACTCAGTGGGGGCTTTACATCCAGACCTGGGGGGGGGGGGTGAGACCTGGCTCTGCTGTGTGTGATCTTGAGCAAGATAACTTTTTTTTTTTTTGGAGACAGAGTCTCTCAGGTTCTCTTTGTCACCCTTAGTAGAGTGCTGTGGCATCATAGCTCACAGCAACCTCTAACTCCTGGCTTCAAGAGATTCTCCTGCCTCAGCCTGCCAGAGTGCTAGTATTATAGGCATGAGCTTCTTTAAGTGTCAGCTAGAGTTCTAATCATGAAATCCCTAATATCAGCACCCTGCATAGAGATAATTCCAACAAGAAGCAAAGAAACAAGACATCTTAAATACCTTATGTGGTCTTACCAAGGGACAATTCATGGGTTGTGTTTATTCTTTGAAATAGTAAAATTAACTTGTGAGTTTCATTTCTACCTTCTTTAAAAAAATTTTTCTTTTTTTTTGCAGTTTTTGGCCGGGGCTGGGTTTGAACCCACCACCTCTGGCATATAGGGCTGGCGCCCTACTCCTTTGAGCCACAGGTGCTGCCCTTCTTTAAAAATTTTTTTAAATATATTTATTTTTTTCTGAGACAGAAAGCCTCACTCTGTTGCCTCAGGCTTGAGTGTCATGGTGTCAGCCTAGCTCACAGCAACCTCAAATTCCTGTGCTCAAGCGATCCTCTTGCTTCAGCCTCCTGAGTAGATGGAACTACAGGTGCCTGCCATGATGCCTGACTATTTTTCTTTTTCTTTTTTTTGGAGACACAATCTTCACTGTGTTGCTCTCGGTAGAGTGTCATGGTGTCACAGCTCACAGCAACCTCAAACTCTTGGGCTTAAGCAATCCTCTTGCCTCAGCCTCCCAAGTAGCTGGGACTATAGGCACCTGCTACAATGCCTGCCTAGCTGTTTCTTTGTTGTAGTTGTCATTGTTTGGCAGGCCCTGGCTGGGTTCGAACCCGCCAGTCTTGGTGTATGTGGCCAGCTCCTTAACCCCTGAGCTTTGACTATTTTTCTATTTTTGGTAGAGACAGGGTCTTGCTCTTGCTCAGGCTGGTCTTGAACTTTTTTTTTTTTTGAGACAGAGTCTTAATTTGTCACCCTCGGTAGAGAGTAGAGTACTGTGGCGTCTTAGCTTACAGCAACCTCCAACTCTTGGGTTCAAGCAATCCTCTTGCCTCAGCCTCCAAAGTACCTGGGATTACAGGCGCCCATCACAACACTCAGGTATTTTTTTTTTTAAGAGATGAGGTCTCGCTCTTACTCAGGTTGGTCTTGAACTCCTGAGCTCAGGCAATCCACCCGCCTTGGCCTCCTAGTGTGCTGAGATTACAGGTGTGAACCACCACTTTCAGCCTTGGTCTTGAACTTCTGAGCTCAAGTGATCCTCTGGTCTTGGCCTCCCAGAGTGCTAGGATTATAGGTGTGAGCCACTGTACCTGGCCCCTTTCTACTTTCTTGAAGTACCAGTGATTGCAGGAGCCACCCTAGTCCATGCAGAAGGGTTAATAAAAGTGCTACATGCCTCCTTGCTGCATATTATTACAGTCACCAGATGGGAATAATTTGAAGGTGCTCACAGTGATATTCAGCAAGGAGGTAGCACTCTTTCCTCGGGTGAGTTTGTGAACTTAATTATCAGACCTCGTATGACAGCTCTGATGGCCATTCCAGAAAAAAGAGTTCCAAAATTGCTTTGAAGGGTAGACTAGGCATGCATACCTTCCCAAGGGGAGTATTTCATGTTTTTTTTGGAGACAGAGTTTTACCTTGTCACTCTGGGTAGAGTGCTGTGGCATCATAGCTCACAGCAACCTCAAACTCTTGGTCTCAAGCAATTCTCTTGCCTCAGCCTTCTGAGTAGCTGAGACTACTGGCGCCTGCCATAATGCCTGGCTATTTTTAGAGACAGGGTCACGCTCTTGCCTAGGCTGGTCTCAAACTCCTGAGCTCAGGCAATCCACCTGCCTCAGCCTCCCAGAGTGCTAGGATTACAGGTATGAGCTACCTTGCCCAGCCTCAGGGGAGCATTTCAAAGATGACTATAGTGATATTCAGCAGTGAGGTATGTAGCACTTTATCTAGGAGGAGTTCTCGAACTTTAAGTGTCCAACTTGTAGATGTGTTATTCTATTTAAGTCTCTCTCTCTTCCTCCTTAAGGCTTTCATCCTTATCCTTGTAGAGGTGAAGAGTCTGAGGCCAGGGTTATAGTTCCAGTCCTTTTCATCATTTTTCATTTACCTCTTTAAAATAGGAGTAGCTGCCAGATGTTGTCATGGCTAATGGATTGTTCTCTTTGCAGAATGTTTTAGCTGGTGCCTTGTTTGGGCCATGGCTGGGGCTTCTGCTGTGCTGTGTATTGACCTCAGTGGGTGCCACTTGCTGCTACCTGCTCTCCAGTATTTTTGGCAAACAGCTGGTGGTCTCCTACTTTCCCGACAAAGTGGCCTTGCTGCAGAGGAAGGTAAGGGGGGGTGCATATTCAAGCGTTGGGCCCCCAAAGAGTCATCTCAAGGCTTTGAGAGGCGTATGGAGCAGGGATTTCCCACAGTGCTACCCTACCTTGTCTCAGGAAGTCCTAAGGCTTTTTTTTTCTTTCTTTTTTTTGAGACAGTCTCACTGTGTCTTCCTCGGTAGAGTACTGTGGCGTCACAGCTCACAGCAACTTTAAACTATTGGGCTCAAGTGATTCTCTTGCCTTAGCCTCCCTTGTAGCTGGGACTACAGGCGCCTGCCACAATGCCAGGCTATTTTTTGTTGTTGTTGTTGTTTGCTTGTTTGTTTATTTGTTTAGCAGGCTCGGGCTGGGTTTGAACCCACCAGCCCTGGTGCATGTGGCCAGCACCCTAACCGCTGAGCTATGGGCCCTGAGCCCTAGTTACTTTTTCTATTTTTAGTAGAGATAGTCTCATTCTTTCTCAGGCTGGTCTGGAAATCCTGAGCTCGAAGCAATCCACCTGCCTGGAGCTCCCAGAGTGCTAGGATTACAGGTGTGAGCCACTGTGCCAAGCCTAAGGGTTTTTTTGATGTCTTCAGGAGTTACAGACCTGGGATTAAATCCTAGCTCCATTATTATTACTAGCTCTGTGACTTTCAGCAAGTTCCCACATCCTCAGATATCTCTTTTGTTGTTGATGTTTGAAACAGAGACTGACTCTATTGCTCATGCTAGAGTGCCACGGCATCAGCATAGCTCACAGCAGTTGCAAACTCCTGGGCTCAAGCAATCCCCCTGCCTCAGTCTCTTGAGTAGCGGGACTACAGATGCCCATCACAAAGGCTGGCATCTCTCTCTTGCTCAGGCTGGTCTTGAACTTGTGAGCTCAAGTGATCCTCCTGCCTTAGCCTCTCAGAGTGCTAGGATTAGAGGCATGAACCACTGCACCCGGCCTGGTATCTGTCTTTTTTTTCGAGATAGTCTTACTTTGTCGCCCTTGGTAGAGTGCTGTGGCATCACAGCTCACAGAAACCTCTAGCTCTTGGGCTTTGGCAATTCTCTTGCCTCAGCCTCCCGAGTAGCTGGGATTATAGGCACCTGCCACAGTGCAATGCCCAGCTATTTTTTGTTGTAGTTTGGCCAGGGCTGGGTTTGAACCTACAACCCTCGGTATATGGGGCTAGCGCCCTACTCACTGAGCCACAAGCGCCGCCCAGTACCTCTCCCTCTCTTTTTCTTTTTTATAAAACTGATGTTTATTTTCCTCCAACTTTATTTCCATCTTGTTTAAAATGAGCTTGTGGAAGAACAGCTTAAGACCACTCAGTGGCTGTTCCTACCCTTTCAGTGGCCTGAGTAGTAGGAGCTGCAGATCAGTCTTCAGTGGCAGGCTGGGCTCTCCGTTCCTCAGTGGGAAACTGCTGAATAGGCACAGAGGGCACCTGCACGCTTTCTGACCAGTTTGCAGCCTCTGGTTGAGTAGCAGTAAACTCAGGAGCTGTAGCAGTCCATTCACCCTGAAATTCCTCCTTGGTCACAGCTTTCTCAGCAGGAGCCTGCTCTTCCTTTTCAGTGTCTTCAGGATCTCTGTAGAAATAGAGATCTGGCATGACCTCCCACGGATGTTCACGGGAGATGGTGCCACGCATGCAGAGGACTTCCCAGGCCAGCATCCACCACAGCAGACCTTTCCATTACTTCCAAAAACCCTCCAGAGTACAGACTGTTTCCCCATTTTATAAAGAGAGGTACTGAGCCACAGGTGCCACCCAGTAGCTCAGTACCTCTCTTCTTAAAATGGGGAAACAGTCTGTACTCTGGAGGGTTTTGGAAGGATTGGGAACAGAATATGTAATGTGTCTAGAACAGTGCCTGACACCAGAAGGTTTTCAATACCTGGAGACTCTGTATGCCTCTTAACAGTCTTTTTCTCTTTGGCTACAGGTGGAAGAAAACAAAAACAGCTTGTTTTTTTTCTTACTGTTTTTGAGACTTTTCCCCATGACACCAAACTGGTTCTTGAACCTCTCGGCCCCGATTCTGAACATCCCCATGGTGCAGTTCTTCTTCTCAGTTCTTATCGGTAAGATGCTGTGGGGTAAGCTTGAGTCTTCGTTCATGTCAGGGGACTCCCTCAGTGACTAGCCAGGAGTGTGTGCCTGCCTCTGAGAACACAGGCGCACAAAGAGCATATTTAAGCGTTGTGACCTGAAGTAATTATTCTTGACTTCCATTCTGCTCAGTCTTGAACATGAAAACCAATAAAAATATTTTTGGAATAAATACAGATCGTTCATTCCATAGCTGTATTTAGTGGTTTTTGTGTGCCAAGAACTGCGCTAGGCAGTGGGATTAGAAGAGATAATCTGTGTAAGGCGCAAGACTGGGGCCATAGTAAGCACCCAGTAAATGTTAACAGGAAGAGCACAGTTGGTGTGAGGCTATGTGGCCATGCATTTGGGTGGGGACAGAAGGAAAGAGCAAGGGACTTCCTGTCTGGCCTTGGCCCCTGTTCTAAGCTCTGCCTTAGGAAGAGCTGGCACCATGAGGTTCCTTCTTGCCTTTGACAATTACGTGACCTTCAGCAAGCTACACATATCTACTCTGAATGAGCCATTTGGCCAGAGGAGAGGCTGGGAATAGAGCAGTGTTTCTCAAAGTATGGACCTTGGGCTACCTTTTTCAGATGGTAAGGTCTATGGCTATTTCAGACCTAATGAATCAGAATCTTGGGAGTGGGATCTGGGAATATGTTTTTATTTTTATTTATTTTTTATTATTTATTTATTTGCAGTTTTTGGCCAGGGCCAGGTTTGAACTTGCCACCTCCGGTATATGGGGCTGGTGCCCGACTCCTTTGAGCCACAGGTACTGCACGGATTATGTTTTTTTTTTAGAGACAGAGTCTCACTTTATCGCCCTCAGTACAGTGCCGTGGCGTCACAGCTTACAGCAACCTCTAGCTCTTGGGTTTAGGTGATTCTCTTGCCTCAGCCTCCTGAGTAGCTGGGACTACAGGTGCCCACCACAATGCCCAGCTATTTTTTGTTGCAGTTTGGCTGGGACTGGGTTCGAACCCACCACCCTCGGTATATGGGGCCGGTGCCCTACTCGCTAAGCTACAGGCACTGCCCCAGAATATGTTTTTAAAACCAGTTCCTAGTCAATGGTTCTCCTACTTTTTAGACCTATTAATAATCACCTGGAGAAATTTTAATCTCTGTATTAAGGCCATAGCACACAGCACCAAAACCATCATCTTTAGGGGGAGACTCAGGGATCAGCATCTTTTTTTTTTTTTTTTTTTTTTTTAGAGACAGTCTCACTTTGTGGCCCTTGGTAGAGTGCTATGGCATCACAGCTCATAGCAACCTCCAACTCCTGGGTTTAAGGGATCTTGTCTCAGCCTCCTGAGTAGCTAGGACTACAGGCGCCCGCCAGAACGCCTGACTGTTTTTTTGTTGCAGTTTGTCCAGGGCTGGGTTTGAACCCGCCACCTTCGGTATACAGGGCTGGTGCCCTACCCACTGAGCCACAGGTGCCGCCCAGGATCAACATCTTTTAAGGTTTTCCAGGTGATACAGGTATTCAATATGAGTAGCAGATCCCTAGAAGGAATTCTGCTGTATCCTGAATTTTGTAGTCTGCTGAATTAGATGCTTTGTAAAGTCTTTCCTTGCTTTTGACAATTGTATGACCTTTAGCAAGATACTTAGCCTTAGTAAGCCACTTGGCCAGATGAGGGCCTGGGACTAGAGCAGTGTTTCTCAAAGTGTGGGCCTTGGACCACCTTTAGTAGAATGGTAAAGTGCTATGCCAGGCATGGTGGCTCATACCTTTAATCCTAGCACTCTGGGAGGCCGAGGCAGGTGGATTGCCTGAGCTCAGGAGTTCAAGACCAGCCTGAGCAAGAGTGGGACCCCCATCTCTAAAAATAGCCAAGCATTGTGGCAGGTGCCTGTAGTCCCAGCTACTCAGGAGGCTGAGGTAAGGGGATTGCTTCAGCCTAAGAGTTGGAGGTTGCTGTGAGCTAGCCTGAGGCCATTGCACTCTCTAGTGGGTGACAAAGTGGGACTCCATCTCAAAAAAAAAAAGGTCTAGCATCCTATAAAATCAGTGATTATTACTTTCTCTATGTGGGAAGTAAGCTGTCCTTTTTAAGCCTATGGCAAGTATTGTCTTTCTCTCTCTTTTTAGAGACCAAGTCTCACTCTGTTACCCAGGCTAGGGTGCTGTGGCTTTAGCCCATCTCACAGCAACCTCACGCTCTTGGGCTCAAGTGATCCTCCTGCCTCAGCCTCCCAAATAGCTGGGACTACAGTGCCCCCCACCACAGTGCTTGGCTAGTTTTTCTATTTTTAGTAGAGATGGGGGTCTCACTCTTGCTCAGGTTGGTCACAAATCTCCAACCTCAAGCAATACTCAAGGTATCCTCCCACCTCAGCCTCCCAGAGTGCTAGATTCACAGGCGTGAGCCTCTGCACCAGCTTAGGATTGCTGTATTCATTCTCGTAGGACTTCCTGAGAGCATGGAGGGAAAGGCAATTCAGGGCTCTAGGTCAAACAGAACAAATCTGTAGTTGAGCAGTTGCTATTAATAGGGAATACCTGAGAGAAATTGAGATCTTAAATCGAAGCAACATCTCCCACAGCCAATTCTGGTCACATTAGCTTTCAGACAAAGTGCCTCAGCAGCTCGGTTAGTGGGAATTAATGGCTTGCAATTATCTAGGTGGCATGAGGTTTGGAAAGACTCTAGAGACCAGGGTCTGACAAGCTCTGTGACCTTGAGTGGTCTGTGATCTTCATCTCCTGTTTACTTCCTCTACTAAGGAAGAGGAATGGATTATCTAGGGGTTCCAAACCAATCAGAATCTTGGGGTGAGGTTGGGGGTGGGGAAGCTTTTAAAATACAGGTTCCGGCTCGGCGCCTATAGCTCAACCGGCTAAGGCGCCAGCCACGTACACCTAAGGTGGCGGGTTCGAATCCCCAGCCCGGACCCGCCAA